CCAGCCAGTCCCAGCTGCTGCAGCCACCTTAATATGCGTATGCATGATCCGCATGCATATTCATGACTGGCCTCCTGGCTTCTTCCCTGCTCTAGCATCTGCTGCAGACCAGCCGTCCTGCTTCTGAGACCTGGAGGGCAGAGCGACTTGTGGCTGCAGTTCAGAAGCCTCTGCTGGAGCTCCCCGCACCCTGCTCACACCTAGAGCTCCCCGGAGCCCATGAAACCCTCCAGGGCGTCCCAGCGCCACAGAAGCATCCGGAGGAATGCCAGCCAGCACTACCTGTACCAGGAGTCTCTGCTGCTCAGGTGAGCCGGTCCCATCCACCCGCAGGGCGGAGAGGCAGGTGTGTGGGGAGGGGAAGCTGAGGACAGAGGCCCATCCACCCGCTGCTCCTTCAGAAAATGCAGGCGCCTGTTCCAGGTGCTTGCACAACCTCGGCAGGTGCACAGAGGAAGGTGGCCCCACCGACTTCTTGACCAGGGGAGCCAAACCCAAACCTGCACCCCAGCCTGGCTTTCCCGCCGGCCAAACCCACAGCCGCGCTTGTCTGTTTCTCTCTGTCCTCGGTCAGCAGAGAGCAGGTAACACAGCTTCTTAATAGATAAGGTGTCTGCTGGGAAAGACGTTAGCAGTGGGTTTTAACAGTGTGTGTGGGGGGGGTGCTGTTAGCAGTGGGGGGTGTCTGTTCAGATTTGTTAAATATTTGTTAGGTGTATTAAACACCCCCCCATAAATTGGAGAAAAATCCCCCTTTAAGTAAGTGAAATATCTAGTTTCGAGAAAAGCAAAGGAATTATTTTCTCTTCCTTTTTATTAAGCGCATCATTGATCACACAGCCGAAGGACAATGCGCTTATGTCCTGAGACGTTGCATTAAGATCAGCATATCAACTGTTACTGGGAATAAATGTTTCTACATGTTGAGAAATTATTTGCCTAGAAAATAACTATCTCCTTGAAATATTTGCCCACGTAAAATGGCTTAGCTAGTCACTTGTTCGTAGACATTGCTGCCTGTTCTGCCTCCGTCGTGTCGCGTTTCAAATAAGCCGAAGTGGGACTAGGGAAGGGTCTCTGGGCGACAGAATTTGGTTCCTAATTATTTTACATCCAGAGTTAGGGAGCAGGGAGGTGGCTAAGCACCCTCTTCTCCCCTTCTGTGACGCCTTCTGAAAATCTCTGTTATGCTGGGGAAGTGTTCTCTTTCACTGACCCACCCAAGTAACAGAATCCAGTGCAAGTGTTTCAGTGGGTTGCCAACCCTGCCGAATTCTCCCACTTCCTCCCAGCCTCTCCCATCCTACACACAGACACCCCACCCCACCCCACCCACACCCCCCAGGCAGTGAGAGGCTGGCCTTGCCCAGGCAGGGTCTTTGCTGGAAGCCACTGTTCTCATCAGATTCCCTCCTTTGTGCCCTGGTCCATTCAGCAGCTTGGATGACAGCTTTAATGCTGATGAAATGGGGGACAGCAGTGACCCGGAGCAAATCTTCCAGAACATACAGTTCCAGAAAGAGCTGATGGCGACCCTTCAGAGCAGGCCCTGGACCATGGGGCAGAAGCTGAGGGCCCTGCGGTAAGGTTGTCGGCGGTTGTCGGCGCGCGTCCCCTGCCCCGCCCTGCCCGGTCCTGGCGGCCAGCAGAAAGACGCGCGTGAGACGTCCCAGGTGTGAGGGTCCGCCCGGCCCAGGCAGGGCCTCCAGGTGGCCCATTCCCTGTGGGTGTCTGGGTTGGAGGTGTGCGTGTTGGAAGTGACCAAACTAGAGGTGAAGAAAATAACCAACCTCACTAGAGGCAGGTGTATAATCCTGCCAACATAAGAAATATTCAGCCCTGTAAAGACTTTTTCCAAGAGTGTGTTTGAGCCAAATTGATGACAATTGCACAGGAGCCATGGACAGGGCTGGCTTAAAACCTTTCACAAGAGAAGTTCGGGGCCTGGGGCGTGACTGCCCACAATGACCCGCCCAGATGGGAACTGATTTATTATAGCACCGCTTTGCGCCCACAATCCAAGTGAAAGTAGATGATAATTTTACCTGCCTGGCTATGACCTCCCTCTGTGAGAAAAGCCTTTGTGGGAAGCCAGATGACTGTGACACCAAGACTCATATCGGAGCGCCTGTTTAGGTGGCGAAGAGCTGAAGATTTGAAGACACGTTGCCTGAATGCAAGCACTACCCATCAGTAGCAGTGATACTGGGTAGTTCTTTTAATTTCTCTGAGTACCAGCTCCTTTCTCTTGAAAGCTGACGTGATGGTGAAGAGGAGTGCCTGCCTCCTGCAGCAGGCTTTCCAGAAATGTCTGTGGGCAGCCATCGGGCTGCCGAGCACTCGGAAAGCCCTGGTGGTCCTCAGACCTCCTGAGTCCGGAGCCAGCGGGGAGGGCCCAGCATTCTCAAGGTGCTTTCAGGCTGATTGCTTCTCGTACTAGTTAGAGATCTGACAGCAGTTCAGGGATTAAGTAGATAAACCACCCGCGTGCTCAGCGTCATATGGGTGTGTAGCTGTCACTCCCTGTGAGTGACTGATGATCGGTGACGCCGCTGTCAGGACCACAGCACAAGTGTCTTAATGGCCGGTGCCATGGACCTGAGAAGTGGGCGTCCCGGGAGAAACAGGCAGTGACCTGATCACCAGGCGCCCACCCCCGTGTGGCCAGGGTTAGAACCACCACCCTCTTAGGGTTCAGTGCCCTGTCCAGATGCCCAGCAGGTGGCCTTTTCTCTCGTCCTCTGCCCTGAGGCGTGCACTTCTTCCCCTCAACCTGCCTTTGTTAGATTTCCATTCCAGGCCCCGTTCTTCCAGTCAGGACAACGATGCCTCTTGCCCTCAGATGCCTGCCCGGGTAGCAAAGATCCCATCTGTAGTCTTGACTCTCAGAAGTTTCCAGTTTATGCTCCATGTCTGTGACCAGCTCTCACCCCTTCATCTCCTTAAGTGAGGATGGCATTCTTCAGAATGGGAAGACTGGGACCCAGAGGTGTTACGTGGCTTCCCCGAGGACACACAGCTGTACACGTGGGCTTCCCGACCCCGACTGACACAGAAACTCTCCCAGCGGACTCCTCGGAGCTGTTTATCTTTAAAAAATGTTGGGCTCTGTCAGAATTTTTAAATCATACAGAACTGCAGATGATGAATGATTGTCTGAACCATAGAAGGTTTAACTGCTTCAACCTGCAGGCAGAGCAGAGCAAAGGAGAACTTTTCTGTCAAAACACCTGAGAAGCAAAAGAACAAGCCAGGCGTTCTGCCAGGCTGCCTGGCCACGTGCTCAGCCAGAGCCCCAAGGTGGCCCACACGAGGTGGGGACGAGGGCAGAGGGAGCGCGGTGGCCAACAGTCAAGCTCTCAGAGAGCTGCTTGTCCTCTGAGCACCTGCATTTGTCATCCCTTATCACACACGTCTCCTCCCCATCACCTTGAGATGCTACTGGAGCAGCGCGTCACTGACCCCACTGGCTGAGATTCCTGAGGTGTCGTGGACAGGTCAAGAGCTCTGAACCCTGACGACTTGGGGATCACGGGAGCTTCTGACAGACAGCAGCAGGGCTGTAACTCTGATCCTGGGGCAGCAGCCACCAGTCTGGGAGGACACAGCGCGTGTCTGTCTGCCGTGTGGGGAAGCAGAGGCCTGTGCCGTGGGAATCTACATGGGCCTGTGCTCACCGAGTTTAGGTCTGGTCCTCCCTGCTGCCTCGGCACAGCACACCCTCTGCCACCCACTCGCCTCACCTGCTGTCGGTCACTGTCACCTCGGGCCCTTTCAGCCCCGTTAGCTTGTGGGCTCTTGAAGGCATCAACTCTGTCTTATGTGCCTCTGTGCCCATCATGCTTGGCACAGGTGAGTGTGCAGAAAATGTTATAACTAAGGAGTGAAATAAATTATTTCGCTGTCAGAGAGTGAAATAAATTATTTCGGATGCTCTCAGGCTGGGACGTCAGCCCTCACCCGTGCCTGCGTGTCTGGTTCTGAGAGTCTGGGGTGATTGGAATGTGGGCGCAGAGGTGCAAACCCCAGCATTGGTTTGGTCCGGTCATGTGTGGAAGGGATCACTCTGCCTGAGGAAGCAGGAGCCTGCCCGCTCCTGTGTCTCGCGAGGAAGGACGCGGAGCCGGGAGTGCTGCTGGGAGGCTGGGATGCACACACGGAATGATTCAGAGAAGCACAGTGCTCCGACACTGAGTGTGGCCCTGCAGAGGGTGGTCAGCCATGGGCAGTGGGGATCCCGCCAGTGCTGTGCCGGGTGAGGTCACCTCGACCGTGACATTCACCTCGGAGGGTTTGACTTCAGCTTGTCCCCAGGCGCTAACATGTGTTTTCTAACCCTGTGTTCATTCAGGTGTGGCTCTAACCATCCACCCAATGAACTCAGCCCACTTTCCAATATTAACCCTTTCAGGAGGGACAGCTCACCAAAGTGATCAGCTAGTGTGTCAGCCGTTTGGTTTGGGCTGAGTCAGGCTGTCTGTGGCTGTGTAGACACACCTTTCTCACTCACGTGAGCCAGACGCCACCTGCTTCTAAGTCTGACTCTCACGTCTAAGAGCTGAGTGCAGGAAGAGGGGAGCCAAGATCAGTGGAGGAGGTGAGAAGTGAGCACCCGCTACCTGGAGTTCCCAACTCGCGACTCCAGCCAACAAGGGAAGGGCTTCTAGAAGCCCCCTTGTAACTGATTTGGGTATTAAGTCATCATTCTGTATGAAATACCCCACTTTACATGTTAAAGAAGACATGTTTCCCCACTTTCACTGAGGAATAGTTGGCCTGCATCACCGTGTAAATCTGAGGTGTACAGCATGTGCTGTGAAATGATGACCACAATAGGCCCAGCCAACGTCCGTCATCTCCTATAGATACAGAAAAGAAGAGAAACATTTCCTCGTGATGAGAGCCCTTAGGCTTTACCACCCCACGGTGTCAGCTGTCCTCACCGTGCCATACATGACACCCCTGGTACTCATTCACCTGACAACCAAAAGCCTGTTCCTGGGACCACCTTCCTCCTGCTCTCCCTGCCACACCCTCCACCTCTGGTCACCACAGTCTGAGCTGCTGCGAGTTTTCCCATGACCAGAATATCGGGAGATGAAAGGTTTGCGTGGCTCCACCCTCCCCCAGCACCTTGTCCTGTGTTGGTCGGCCGCCCGTTTCTGTTGTGGGAGGTCCACATGTTTTGCCAAGACTGTAAGTGTGACCAAGTCGTACTCACTGTCACGTCTCTCTCCTCTCAGACGCGCAAAGGAGATAGTGCTGAAGTTTGAAGGGCGGCTGACCAGGACTCGCGGCTACCAAGCAGCAGGTGCCAAGGTAAAGAGCACAGGTGCCCTCCCCTTCCCCGAGCTCCCCAGTCTCGAGGGTGGCACCTGCCTAGCCCCGGTGTGACCTCAGGCACGAGCAGCTGTAGTGCAGTGTGGTGGGATGCATGTTCCCGAGCTGGGATTTTAGTCCCGAATACCATCACTTACCAGCTGTGTGGCCCTAGGCAGGTCTAACTTACCAGAAGTGGATTCTTCCCTTGAGAGAACGGTTGAGCACCTTCCCTGACTGAATCCTACATGTGTAGATTTTATTCATTGTGTCTCTTGTAACGGAAAAGTTACAGGTGTAGCCCAACACCCCTTTCATTATACAGTTGCTGAGGTGTTTGTTTCTTATTTTTCCCGTTCAGTTAACATTAGTGTATGTTGAAATGATCTGCTTACAGAGACATTGCAGTCATTTTCATAACTGTTTAGAAGACAGAGGAAGACATCACATCTCCTTCTGTGACCCTCCTGGCTTCCCAGTGGAGTGTCTTTTTAATAATCTCATGTTTCAGTCATTGAATACATAATTTTAATCAGAGTAATTACGGCAGACACACATTTTGACATCTTTTTTCACTTCACACCATAGCGTAAGGACTTTTCCATGTTGCTAAGTAGTTACTGTTTGCAGTGACTTCTGCCCTGGAGACTCGGTGTTGCATCATCAGATAAGCGTGGTGTTTTACCTTCCCGACTCTTGGTCTCAGGACTTGCAATCCCCTTTGTGTCTAGGAAGCTCCCCCAGCACAGCTAGTGTAGACTCCTCAGCAGAGTGAGTGCTGGGGGCATTCATTCCAGTGGTCCTTAACACTGAGCTCCTCAAACGAGCCCCAGAAGTGGTGTGGGGGCGTCTTTGCCTCTGCTTCAGCCTGTCCCGTGGATTGAAATTCTCACACGGTTTTGAATTTAAAGAGCACTCTGAACAGCCCTGGATGAATTCTGCTCCTTGTAGAGATGAAGAAATGGAAACCCAAAGACAGAAAACCACCGTTTCCCAGGGGCACAGAGTGAGACGGAGGTGCAGCATGGCTACAGCCCAAGTGCTTCTTACCCTTCGGGACTCCACAGTGGGCCCGAGACGCCCATCTTTCCAACCCCACACCCTCCCCAAAGGGTGTGCGAGCACCCGTCCTCTGGACTCATCCGGATGGCAGGTCTGGGGGCGCTGGTCTTCCTCTGTGTGCTGGAGAAGCACAAAACAGGAGATGCGAACCAGGCACCATGCACCCGGCCTATAAGAGCCCAGAAATCACTGTGGGGAGCTTACGGGGTGAACACGTCTTTCTGGGAACAGAGAAGCTGTGTGCCATCCTCACGGGAGTTGGGTCTGGAATCATGAGTGGATCAGGACCAACTCCAGCTCCTGAAAAAATTCAGATTCTCCTTTACAAGCAGCCGCCCAGCCCTAGCAGACACGTCCAAAATGACATTATCCACGTGTCTGTGCTGTAGCTGAGGACGCTGTAATTACATCTGTAACCCTCCTTTCTGCAGTGATATCATTTGTTTCCAACACAAACTCAGAGGTGTGTGTGTTAAGATGGACAAGCTGCCAGTGTTATGGGGGAGCAGGGCCAGTGTGAGGGCATAGTCTGATGTGTTCTCCTTTGAGGAGAAAACAGGCCTTTGAACTTCCAGAAGTTGTGTGAAACCTGCATGACAAACTTCCAGACCTTACTTTGGCAGCTTCGGCCAGGAGAGGATGGTGGGCACCCAGTGGGGGTGCTCATTTTCAGGGTACATTCTAGACTCTGGTCCTCAACCGGGAGGGAATTGAGGTCACCTAGGAAGTTAGTTAGCCACATGGCTTCCTGAGTCCCCTCCAAGTGGGGTCAGGTAGGTGCATTTGGGCATCACTCCTCAAGGCCTCAGTCGTGCCCCCGGCAGGAATGGTAGAAAGAAGGCAAGCTGAGACCTTAAAGGACACGCACCTCGGTGTAGACACCACAGCTCCTAGCCCAGAGCAGGTGCCCTCACCTGGGCAGGAGCGCGGAGCAGACTGGGGGGCTGCTTGGTCCTAACACCTCTGAGCTGAAAATGAAGGTGTCAGACATGTGTCAGAGCCCCTCCTCAGCTAAGGGCCCCCGTGCCCAAAACCGGTGCCGTGGTCACAAGTGGACAGTTCTCTAACCTCACTCCCTCCTTCAGCTCTGGCGGAAGCTGGCGCGTCTTGCCCGTAACTTCGTGGTCATCTTCATCCCCTGGGAAATGAGGATAAAGAAAATCGAGAGTAAGTTGGCGCCTGGGGGAGCGGGGCGGGGTGCAGCCCTAGCGTCCGACCAACAGCGGGACCGACCGAGGTCTGGCGCCTACTGGTCCTTCCACTGGGCAGCCGGGGGCACCGGCCCACATGGTGCTGACCCGGCTGGCGATGGGGATGCGCTGTCTGTGCCCACCACCACCCAGGATGGAAACAGTCCCACGTTCCCCTGTGGCTTTGTCAGTTCCTTTGTCAGACACCACACAAACCCCAAAGGATTAAGTAAAAAACGGTGGGTGAATAAGAGCGTCACATGGGCAACTGCAAAACAAAAGCACACACATGGGCATTTTCGCAGCTGCTGCTTTGCCCCCCTCTCCAGAGGAGTCCCCTGGAGAGGGGCCTGGACTGTTGCTGCAGGTGCGGGGCACGCATCACCTGGCCTGGCCGCCCAGCCCTACCTGAGGCAGGGACTGACTGAGGGGCGTTGAAAGGGGGACCCCTCTGTGCTGTACCCCCAGAGCTCCCTCCCCCCGGGCACAGGCCGAGCCGGATGCAGCCAGACCGCCTCGTGGCACAGCCCGTTCCCCATCTCCCCGGACCCCCTTCTCCCCAGAGCACCCCCTTCTCCCCAGAGCACCTTCTCTGTTTCTCAGACCCTGCCTCTGCGGAACCTCACCTGAGGCAGAAATGACTTGCTGCAGGTTACCCGGGTGATGACGTACCTACCTGGTGAAGAGTTGGAGAGTTTCTGCGTGTCCAGTCGTGGGGGGTGGGTTAGATGAGCTATGGGAAAGTCATTCAATGGAACAAGAATAGAATTCATTTTATACAAGAGCATTTTTGCATGAAAAAGTGCTGGTCGTATGTTGAAAGTGCAAGATGCATGCTATGGAGAGATGCCAATTTTGTATAAAAAACTTATACAATAATAGTATACAAGAGTACTGGAAACCAATTCCAGTAGTGATTTTAATTTATTGATTTGGGATAAGTATTTTTTTGTGTGTGTTTTCTTTATGATGTTTTGTGTTTTCCTATTTATCATGACAAACATAAACTAGATTTGAAAAAAAATTGAAGAGCGGTTATTTGTTTTAAGTAAGGGGAAAATCTGTCACTGGCATCCTCACCTGACTTCTTCTATGCTCCCTTATTTTCTCAATAGAAATTTGTTTTTAAATGCACTTTTTATTTTAGAATAGGTTTGCATATATGGAAAAGTTGCAAAGAGAGAGTTCCTGTAACCCCTTCACCCTGTTTTGCTAATGTTAACATTAGCAAATTATTTATCTTGAAATTCAGACAAAAGAAACCTTAGAGGAGTCCTTGGAATTCCCAAAAGTAATGCAAAATAAAAAAAGAACTATGTCAAATTGTTGAAAGATGCTGATCCTTCTGAACCGCCACAAAATGTTATAAATTGGATAAAAGCATTTGAGAGGACTGTGACACGAGGACAATTATTTCATTAGGGATTTTTTTCTGCCTCAGTAACTGGTAGACATGAGTGAGCACTTTGACCCATGTGAACGACCGTTGTTAGGCCGTCATGCTGATGGGTGCAGTTCGGGCTTTCATAAGGAGATTCCGGCGATGCTGCAGGGAGAACGCTTGGCACCGGGAGAGGCCCGCCTGATTTGTCCTCATTTCTGTTTCTCGCTGTAGGTCACTTCGGATCTGGCGTTGCCTCCTACTTCATCTTCCTGAGATGGCTGTTTGGAATTAATATTGTGCTCGCCATCATGACCGGCGCTTTTGTCATCATTCCAGAGGTAAGAGCTGTTTCAGGACAAGCGAATGCCGCCGGTGGAAAAGAAAGCCATTCGAGCAGGACCGTGAGGCAGCCACCCTGGTTGTCCCCGTGTGGAGGGCAACCTGTGTGTCGCCAGCAGGGCAGCAGGCTTGTCGGAGGCGAGCCAGACAGTACCTACGCCAGGGTCCGTGGGCCACGTGGTGTCGGTCGCGACGCCCACCTGCCCCGTTGTGCGGAAGCAGCCACAGCTCGGACAGACACCGCCAGGGGTGGCCGTGCTCCCGGGCAGTGTCACGTGCAGACGCAGAAATTTGCATTTCATACAATCCTTGTGTCACAAAATATTGCTTGCTCTTCTTTTTTGTTTTTTTTTTCTAACCATTTAAAAATGGAAAAACCATTCTCGGCTGTCGGGCTATACGAAAAGAGGCAGCAGGCTGGACTTGGCCTATGGGCCAGTTTGTGGACAGTGTGCTAAAATAAATCCGTCTCAACTGGACTGCATCCTCACGAAGTAAACGGGGCCATTTCACAAGCCATTAGAGAAACCCAGTGATGTCAGTCATCCACCCGTAGAAGCCAGGTCCAGCCAGAGAGAGGACACCCAGGCAGGCCCTGATCAGGCAACGAACATCTGGCCACCCGTGTTAATTTTTCATCAGTGAGGATCCAGCAGAAACCCACCCGCTAGAGAGCGCTCTCATGCAGCCTTTTCCCAGGGTCTGAGGTCAGCCGCCTCTTTCCCTCGGGTCCCCTCGCACCCAGGGGCCCACATGACGTCCTCGCTCTCTCTCCAGCTCATTGCAGGCCAGCCGTTTGGAAGCACAGCCAGCAAGACCATCCCCAAGGCTCAGGTTGCATCTGCCCAGGACCTGGACACCGTCTGGTCCCTGGGGGTGAGTGAGGCACGGGGTGGGGCCAGACGCTTGTCTGGAGGGCTGGCGCGAACGGGGGTCAGAGCTGACACCAGCGCTGTCCTTGCAGGGTTACCTCCAGTACTCAGTCCTCTTCTACGGCTACTATGGCAGAGAGAGACGGATCGGGAGAGCCGGCTACCGGCTGCCCTTGGCATATTTCCTGGTGGGCATGGCCGTGTTTGCGTACAGCTTCATCATCCTCTTGAAAAAGTATGGCACTCGGTTTCTCGGTGTGTGCCAGGAGTGATGTGTGCGAGCTCATTAACCCTGTCAGGCTAAGGCGTACCTGTACCCATTGTGCAGATGAGACCAAAGCTAAAAGGGACTTGATGCGTTTAACCAGTAACAACTAAGCACGCATTCCTCTGTGCCAGGTTCTGTTGGGTCTGGAGAGCCCGGAACCATGCAGCTAATGTTGTTTTGGACGGTGGTGGGGTCAAGTTACCCTCAGTGGGCAGGGACTCCACAAAGAGTGATTCGGCTCAAAGGAAAGAATTTCATTCCCAGTCACAGCTGCGCGGAGATGCACTGGGCTGGCTCCCAGGGCGACACACCTTCAGCGACCTCCTGGCCAGCACAGTGGTGGGACCTCTTATAAAGGACTCACCCGATAGCCGGCCGTTGCCATGTTCACACCATTGGGAAGGGTTGGCCGAGGACACGGGTGGGGCTGAACCAGACAGGGCCCAGCCTGCGTGCTCCCCAGGGGCAGTGTTTTCCGGCTCACGGCCTGTGAGTGGCCGAGCCTGTCCTGACCCTGCCCTCATGTGACACCCGCCCTGGCTCTGCTTTTGCAGGATGGCTAAGAACTCGCGTACGAGCCTGGCCAGCGCCTCCAGTGAGAACTATGCCTTCTGCTGGCGGGTGTTCTGTGCCTGGGACTACCTCATTGGGAACCCAGAGGCTGCGGAGAGCAAAACCGCTGCCATCGTGAACAGCATCAGGGTGAGCGAGGGCCTGTCCGGCTGCTGCGAGGGAGGCACGTGCAGAGGGAGAGAGAGTGGGAGGGAGGCAGGGGCAGAGGGGCGTGTAGGTCCGGCTCTTCAGCGCCCTCCCCCCCCCCCGCCGCCCGTGGGGGGGGCCCTCTCCCCATGGGGCCAAAGTGAGGTGACAGTGCCTCCCACATGCCCCAACCCCAAACCACATCCAGGAAGAAAATACGGGAACTTCTCTTTTATTTCCTTCCCCAATCAACTTTATTGACATAATTGGAACTTATTTTTATTCTTTTATTTCACCCTTCTGACATTTCCGTGTGTGTATTTTGGATCATTGGCCTCATGGACTTTCCCCTGTATTGCACGTAGATCACGACATGTAAATGAATAAACACACATGGGGGCTGTCAGCTTTCAGTGTCAGCTTCGCAGGCAGTGCAGTGAGAGCCTCAGAACTCGGGTCTGCTGAACAAACGGGCAGCTGAATGGTGCCCCCTTTTGAGAAAAGCTTCCGTTACCTACAGAATTGACTCTTCTCTCCCCTCGACCTCCGATTTCCTTTTTGATCGGTGTATGACAGAAAGCACTGATATCAGTGAAACCTTGCAGAGTAAAGTCCAGACATCCAAGTTATGATTGAGAGGACTGATAAATCATTTCCAATCGTAAAATATTTCTGAAGATTTATGATTCGTAGTGATGCTAAGCATTTCACATCGTGTGTGTCTTTCCTTGAAGGAGGCCATACTGGAAGAACAGGAAAAGAAGAAAAGCAAAAACCTGTATGTATTAACCCTCCCCATGCTGAATGTATTGATAAGCTGGTTTACTCTGGTACCAAAATCACCAGACAATATGTATCTTACTTTCACACGTTATCAGGCAGCTCTTCCTCCCTAAAATCCACCCCTCCAGTGGCGTGACATGTGGGAAGCCAGTTGTTTTCCAGTGCCAGGATTTAGGAGTCGTGCCACCCCCGCTGACCCCAGGACAGGATGAGCAGTCTAAAGTCGACCAGCTTCCTGTCCTTTTCCTTGGATAATAAAAGAAGCATTTTTAGCACCAATTTCTAGTCTGCTACATCCAGGCAAGACTAGCTTTATGTAGCAGCCAGTCGCTGAGTCACAACACACGAGTATCCGTTTCTTGTTGACAAGCCTCCCAAGGTGATTTTGCAGGTTTTAAGGGCCACCTTCACCTAGAGAACTGCTGACACGGCAGGGCCTTTCCCAGGAAGGGACAATGACCCTGTGCCCATGGGACAGACAGCTGTGCTGTCTGATGTCCTCGCTGGTTCTTTAGCCCCCCGTGATGAGTCTGCACAGGGAGGGAGCCCAGAGAGGAAGCCGGCGGTGTGGTGGTGGGGAGGGCTCCACAGGGGGGCAGGAGATGAGTTGGAGCCCCCCCACCCCCAGTCATCACCTCCTATGACCTTGACCTTTTCAGCCTTGACTTCCTCACCTGTAAAATGAGAGCATGGAACCCATGAGTGCTTCTCAGAGGGCGAGGGGCACCTGTGAGCACCGACCCCGATTTAGGGCGGGAGGCTCTGGGACACAAGAGTCCACGTGTCCAGCAGGTCTTGCCAAGCAAATTTGTCCTCTCAAATTTGAAAACCACAGCCGCCCTAAGTCCATTCCGGTTCAGAGACATCTAATTCAGTGATTCATGGTTACAAGCAGACGCAGCAGCAGAAACTCTGTTCCTCATCCCTCTTCCACAAACACATCCTAATGCTCCTGATTCGGTCAGAATGGGAGGAAAACAGCGGTGTGAGAGGCGCTCTGGGCCATTAGAACCGGATGTGGGGGAAGAGAAAGGGGGAAACTCACATCTGACTGGTGCTTCCCACAGGGCCTGTCACAGGGACCCCAGGCCTGTGTGCGTTGCGGTGGCCTGAGCAGCGCTCCGCGTGCCGGCCGTCTTCACTCCTGCTCTTCCCACAGAGCCGTGACCGTCTGCCTCCGGGTTGTCGCCAACATCCTGGTGCTGGTCTCGCTGGCGGGGAGCATCTACCTCATCTATTTCGTGGTGGACCGGTCCCAGAAGCTGGAGCAGTCGAAGAAGGAGCTGACGCTCTGGGAAAAGAATGAGGTACCCGCACAGACGCCGCCTCCCCTTCTCCACGCCACCCCCACCCCCATCTCCATGGCGTTTCTAGGTGGGTCAGCTGCCGATACCCCTTGGACAAACGTCAGTCGTCTCGCTCTAGAGCACAGGACACCCTGGCTGTGAGCCAGTGGCAATGCTGGGCTGGGCTAAGGAATTTCTTTGGTCTCCATCAGGAGAGCCTTTGATTCAAAAACAGCTTCAAGCATTTGCACGTTCTTACCTTTGAGTCTTTTTGCCCGTGCTTTGCTTTTCTCAAATGTATGCCCTCACTGACACGCTTCCAGAAATTGACCTCACCCCCAAGCTTGCTCTGCGAGTGTCAGCAGCACCTCCACCCAACTCTCGGACACTTGGGTGGTCTCTGAATTTCTGAACAAATAATGCCTCCCCAGCCAGCCCCACACCAATGGCTTTTTTCAAAAAGATCTTTTCCCTCCATTTATGTGAATGTTCCATGAATAGGAAAAATTACCAAGAGGAAGCTTCTGAACTGTTTTATAATTCTTAATATTTATTATAAGACAGTTGTCCCGAGAGCTTGGTTCCATGTACCTGTGAAGATGTGAAAGGCAGAAATAGCACAAATGCTGCCCCTCAGGCCACTTCTGTGGAAAGGGTTATCATCCGTGGGATCTGAAAAACAGAGTGTAGACGGTGTGTGATGCTTACCGGTGGTCCTCAGTGCTCGGGATTTTCAGAGTCTGAGACTACATTAGGTCAGCTTTTCCCATACTTCTTTCTATTTTATGTCAGTTAACGCTGGTTGTGTAAATGTGGGCTTGTATATTGATAGCTAGGACGATGGATGGATGGATGGATGGATGGATGGATGGATGGATGGATGGATGGATG